TTTGTGTTGTGACTAATTGCTACGAGTTTCTCAGGTTGTTAAAAACTGAGCTACCCTGATCCAGTTACTATGACCATTTATGTAAAGCTGCTTTGACATAATCTACATTGTAAAAGCGCTATACAAATAAAGCTGAATTGAATTGAATTGTTTGTGTTGTGACCAATTGCTGCGCATTTCTTAAGTTGTTTGACTTGTGACCAATTGCTGTGCGTTTCTTAAGTCGTGACTAATTGCAGTGCGTTTCTTAAGTTGTTTGTGTTGTGACCAATTGCTGCGCGTTTCTTAAGCTGTTTGTGTCCCGACTAATTGTTTTGCGATTGTTAAGTTGTTTGTGTTGTGAGAATTTGCAACACGTGTGCTATCAAATTGATTTCTTCATTTGCTGGTGTTTTTTGTAATTGCATGTGCTTCCTTAAATTGCAGTGCGTTAAGCTCTTTGGCCGCTGTATCAATTAGCTATATGCACAGCTAGTGTTTTTCAGCTAATGATGAACTTTTGGTGAAAGCTTAATGTGACTAATATACAGTTACTTTTTACAGCATCAACGCTAAAATGTAATTCAAATATAAACAGTTAAATAGACTTAAGCATCCATTTAGTTTTTAAAGTGTAAAAATCGACGATAGAACGTTGAAACACAGGTGCCGTCATTAGTAACAGGCTAGCGCAGAAACTTAATGTGGAAAATTAATTTCCATATTTTAAAGACATGGCGCAGAAAAATACCATTTAACACAGTGCCTCTTGTTTGGTCTGAGACCTGCTTTATATCGTATCTCAGCCAGGCAGTGAAGATCAATGTTTTGTAAAAAAAATCTGATCTTAAACATGGCAATTTTGTATGGGATGACAATTAACCGAAAGTCCTGGGGCTGGTGACTGAAATAAAAGTCCGTCTGCATATACCCCATTGAGTAAAACTAAGAAACTAAAAAAAATCACAGACTAAACAATATTGTTTATTTCTACTATGTATATCAATATTAAATGTTGTAGTATTGTTCAAATGATCTTCTTTTGTGTTCCACAGAGAAAAAAAAACAAACAAACAAACAAATTGGTCTGGAACAAGCCACGGGTGAGTAAAAAAAGGCACAATTTGCATTTTTGGGTAAACTAGCCCTTTCATATTTGTGACTTTTGAAGATTACTGTCCTATGAAGCAAAAAATGTTTGTGCTCATCTATTTTAATATGAGGCACAATGCTGGTAATCTAGATTGTTGTGAATGTGGTAAAAGCCACTGGCCGAGGCTGTGGATTAAAGTGTTAAATTTCTTGCACAGACCGATTGTATCATTTTTTAAGACTGCAATGTGTAGTCAAGAGCCACAGGTATCGTTTTTGCATTAACTTCATTTTTGCATCAACAGGGACCAAGATATCAGCTTAAAAGTCACTTGCATTTATTCATTCATTTTTGGATGGATTATCTATTTAAAAGATGAGATGAAATGCAGTGAAACTATAATGTCGCTCCGAAGGCGAGGGAGGAAATAGATAATGAGAAAACGCTCAGGGTGACAGACAGAAAGTGGGTTTTAAGGGGGAGAGGATTAGGGTTAAAAGTCAAAAAGGTCACACAAGAAACCAGTTCACATCCACTCTGATGATGGCAAAAATCTTAATTGAAGGCACAGAAAAAGACGTCTAATAGCAGCAGACACATTTATTTCCTTTCTTTGGTACTAGTTTTAGCACAAAAATTTGAGCAAATTTCCCACAATTACAGCATCTAACTTATGCGGCAGTCTGGAGTTTTTATCTTCAATCCAAGGATACTGTTTTGTGGCAATCCTAGATCATTGTTTTTTTAGGATTTACCCTGCAGCCACTGGACGACTGGCTGGCAGACTATTCTCCAGAGAATTGAACTTCTCAGATCAGTAATCTGTCTGGAAATCCTTTCTCACCATAGTCAAACCCAACTGGTTAGCAATCTGCGCTCTAGTTGTTACATTCATCAATGTTCAAAGGTTTAGGACGAGTATGATTCTGTATTAAAAATAATGGCCCAATGGATGCTATACAAGAAAATCTATTAAGAAAAAAGTCTTATCTTCAACACCATTGTTTTAATAAGAAATGTTCCTGAGCTCTATTAATATAACAATCGAATAAGCCCAAGCCCTATTAATAAGCCCAATCAAAATAGTATAACAATTTCCCAAGGACTATGTAAAAAAACATATTCATTCAATTGATACTATTTCATGAGATTACTGTATTTTAATTAGATAAATAAGATAAGTGCCATCAACAAACTTTTTGCCTCCTAAAATTAGAGTTCTCTCAAAGGGACATCCTAACAAATATACCTTGTAGTAAGTGTCTCACAGGTTGATGTCTATACAGACGTGGACAGACCGAGTTCTTCAGGCATGTCAGGCTGTTTCACATACACAAGATTAAGTAGCAAAAGTGACATCCAAGACCAATCGGGCCACCCAGGAGAACTGCAACCAGCGGAAAGGCTGTCAGAGCCCCCCTTTACACCATTAATCTTCAAGCTTCTCCTGTGCTGCCAACTCGCATCTCCTTCAAACGGGACAGGAGAGAGGGAGGGAAATGGAGAAAAGTAAAGCCACTCTGTTTTTCTCCTTGTGCTTTCCCATCGATTAACTCTTTGAGAGACAAAGTGTTGCTTATCACTTGTGTTTGTTAGTGCTTCAGCACAGGTTTGACATCTTGCTCCGAAAGCTTTGCTCAGAAACACTTTTATCATTACAAATGATTATATCAGCAAATTATACAGTATCCAAAGCTGACTTTAAGATGTGCGCTGTTTTCAATAAACAATAAAAAAGTATTTGAAATGCTGTCTGTTGAAGAAAATACTGACATTATCTTGGCATTTTGCAAAAGAATGTAAACTTCCACCCTTGCTGATTGCATTTTCACATTTTACACGTGTTTAAGTCTAATACTAAGACAGGACGGCCACCTTCTCTGTAGATGAATGGGCCTCATTAAAGCAAAATGGAGATTCCGGTGCTGAAGTGTGGGGATTGCCCTCGGACCTCTCAATTCTTTCACTGATCAATAGGAACTTTGATCTCATCCTTAGTGGAGATTCCCGGTCCCTTTACTGGCGACACATATATAAACTAATGACAATGAGTGGTGAAATGCTAAAGTAAAAGAAGGATCCAGGAACTGATAAATAGCGGAAAATGAGTATGTTATGCTGTGGCATGCCTGAAGTCCCAAGAGAGAGCTGTCTTACACCAGTCCTGAGAACTGAGGAGGAAATCGACCCATCTAGACAGAGCCTTTGAAGAGACATGAACTCAAATTAAGGGACATGCCATGGATGCTTGCTTCTGTTTTTTTTTTCTCTCTCTCTCTCTCTCTCTCTTTAAGTTCTCTTTTTTTCTGTTGGGATATAGAGACTATATGTTTGTTAAGCTTAAACAATAAATTAGAAATCAAATTAAACTAATTAATGTAAAAAAAAAATATTATTGTTTTTATTTATTTAATTATATTTGTTTGATAATTCTTGAAATTTCCCCCAAAAGCATGAGGCTCTTAAAACTAAATGTTTTAGCAACATAGTTTTAATGTTATTATGAGCTCATATAATGCAAGGCTATAACTAAGTAATTAATTATTTACACACTTTCCAAATAACCTAACTGCTTTCCTTCAGACTCAGAGCACAAAATATTTTAATGAAATCTAAGTTTTGGGTTTTCTGCTTCTCCATGAAATTGTGTTCATCCAATTCTTACTCTTAAAAATGGAGGCTTGCGATTGTGTCAGTGGTTCCCTGCAAAATCTTTAATATCCACAGAACCTTCCCATTCCACTCAAGATTGTTTAAAGTGGAAAAAGGTTATTAAAAGTTCTTCACACTTGCGCAAAATGTTGCCTTCAAGAATTTATCTATTCAATCTGTTTAATTCATATATTCTGAACAGACATGACCACTTTAGATGGTAAATACATAATTTTGGCTATTTTCTTCTATATATATAATCATTGATCAGCACAGAAATTTACAGAATTTCAATTAGAACCGGCAAGGCTTCTTCTTGCAGCAGAGAAGAACCTCTCTGGTTCTTTCACATGAGTCAAGCATGCTTGACCTGCCTTATAATTAAATTCTAACCAGTGTTCTCATTTCACAGGAATTACATAATTCAGGTGTATAATTTATTCAATATTTTAAAATAAAAATAAAGAAAAACATCCAGTATACATGATATTATTAGTCATTTTAAATTTCAATCATGAAACTGTTGTAAATTAGTTGTAAATAGTTTTGTATTTATATTTGAATAGTTATAAATATTTATGTAAATTTTTACTTCACACTTGGATATTTGAATTTTAAATCTCATCCTTCTTTGATTTAATTGCTCATCTTAGTCAATTTAACACTGATGTGCATCTTTAGACTGCAACTTAAACATTTCACTTTTAAATCACACATAAAATCTTCATCTTGGGCAAGGGTATATTTGGTCATTTCCGATTATTAGCGGGGACTTGTCCCACATCTCATGTTTGTGCTTATAATCATCCATTAGGTGCAACTAATTTGATAAACTAAATATATCTTTTTCTAAGCTTTTAACATTGTTAAAATTAATTACTATTGTATTATATTTCTATAAAGCAATGCCAAGGCAATATGTTCCTCCATTGCACAGGTGTGCAGTTACAGAGGGTGTTACATAAATAAAACATGCATGTTATTAAAAATAGGGAAAAAAGATGGCACCCACGTGTGCATCTCATTTTGACGCTTTTGGTAATTAAACTTTCTAACTTGAGCCAAAATTCTACTAGGGCAAAATGATGCAAACACCATGAAAAAACATTTGTTATAAACAGCCATTAGCTCTTTGTCAGTAACAATCACATTCGTATATGTTGCCGTTTTCAACTAAACATAAACACAAATCTTCCACCTCAAGTTTCTACTCTCCTCATGAGATGAAGAAATACGCATCGCGTGAGTTTGGACGCTGTGTGTTGCCGTACGTCTCATGTTAACATGGCGTCCTCAATGTCATTCTTTGGTTTAAGCCGTATTCTCGCTCTTAAATCAGTCACAAAAACATTTGTGAATCCTGTCAGGTAATTACCAACAATTTTTGTAATTGTTTATGTGTTTATGCGCGTAGAAATAACGCTCGCTCGGTTTTCTTGGCTCTGTTTATCTGTTTACAGTTAACAGTTAGCCTGATAGCTACTGACATAGCCAGAGTGTCATCGGTCAATTCTTTAATATTAGACGTTAATCTGACACACATATACATGATAATGCGACGTTTTGGACCTTTAAACTTACCTGTTGTTTTAGTGATGAAAACGACAAGCTCTTAGCTCTGTAGTGAGTTGTAATAACAACATTAATTAAACTGGTTAGTATACGTGATACATAATGTTTGAGTCATGTGAGTTAATTAGTTTAGTTAAATGTTAGTGTGGTTGATTATCGTTTGTAACGCTTTATGGGAAGTTTAGCTCCTTGACCTACTTTCTGAACGAAGACTGAAAATGTACATTTTTTCATTATGTTGCAAAACTCATTCAAAGGTTCACATTTGTATTGAGGTAAAGTTGGTTTTATATAAAATGTTATACTTTAGCCGTTTATATATTGTTTACCCCTAACGTTACTTTAAGTGTTTGCTCTGAAACTGCCTGTAATTATGCATTATTAATTATTTGACTGTGAACAGTGTTGTGGATGGTTGCTAATAAAATTTCCCTGTTAGAGTTTTCAAATAATATGTTTAATGCGTTTCAAATAAAACTGTATTATTAAGGAGAAAGTCAGAATATGCAAATATATAACTAACTATACCCCAATCACATTTGTGTGTGAGTGTGTGTGTCATGGCGGTTTTCTTATTAAGGTAAAGTTGTTGTTTTTTATTCACACATACATTCAGTGACAACTTGTGACAGACTCCATATTGTTTACCACGGCACTTTGAATATTCAGTCTGAAATAACCTGCAAGTGTGACTTGAAAACAAGATTAACACTGTTTATTTGACTGTGAATAATGTTGTACTTTGATAGTCATTGGGTGTTAATATGATTCCGCTATTTTGAGTTAGCAAATAAGACTTTTGTGAAATTATATTATTAAGGAGAATGTGCGAATATAAAACCAACTTTACCACTTTTTATTCAATATTCAAATTGGTAACATAATGCATACATCACCTCGTTGTAAACTTTAATCTTATAAACCTGCAGTACATTTGTGCAAGTGCCCTTTAATAGCAATTTAATTTCACCTTATGTTTTAAAGTTTGATCATTTTAACTATAGTCATGCTCACAAATCTCCTTTCTGTTTGCATATTAGCTCACCACTGATGGAATTCTGACACTACATGATGTAACATTTCATTTAGTGTGAGAGTAGATTTTGCACTAGATATCAAATTTCACTTCTTCAACATACAATAGATGACATATTAGAAAATAAGGCCACAAGCTCATTACATTATTGTTATTACTCATTCATTCCTTTTTTTCAGCTAAAAATGGCTAGTTATGTTTAAGTGGTCAGTCATGCAGATGTGGAATGTGTGAATATGAATAAATGATTCTCTTTCTCTACAACCTTTTATGCCTTCCCATATAATTAATCAAAAGTCAATATATTTTGTATCGACATCAAATTTTAAATTCACGCACAATCTGTTCTCATTGTATTTATTAGTCAAAGTACTGTTTTTATTTTATAATGTATAACTTTTTTGTTGCTTTGCATAGATTTGTTTTTTCATTTAAAAAAGATTGTAATATTCTAAAGTTAAAACTCAATACCTTCAGTTAAAGTAATTAGTCAATTGTACTGTATGTCTAAATTGTTGACATCCCTGTGTGGAGTTTAAAGTGTTTGATTGCAATCTTCTACCAAACATTGGGCAGCTGGAGTCACAAAATTCCAAATTTGAAAGCAATTTTATGTTCTTCTATGTTAAATTTTTGTTCATGTTGGTTATATAAAATTGAAATGAAAGATCTGCAGGTGTTTATGATTTTTTTTGTATCCATTTATGTCAGACCAGCTTCAGGTAAATTTCAAAAGCATTGATTTTAGACTTACAGGACGACATCAGTGGCTGCTTGTTTCTTACTGCCTTATAGTAGGTAACCTCCCAGAAGCTCAGCAGGCAGATTTAATGGGGCTGAAGAGAGATTTGTTTGCTTTCCTCTCTCTTGTCTCTTGACACACATCCTCCATTAAAATTATTCACTCTGCTGTTGTTTGTACCTAAATTCAGTTGTTTGTGCTGTATCTCTGCTTGTCATCTCTATTATTTTTTTAAACTTCATCTTCCTGTTTTACAGGTCAGTAAGCACATCAGGATGTAGGCTGGCAGAGGGACAGGGATCCCAGCTCATCACTGTGGATGAGAAACTGGTATGAACATTGCTGCTTTTTCTGGATTGTATTAGGCTTTTGTAATTGTATGACAGTTAAAAATTGATGGAATATTTTGGAAATTTAAAAGATTAAAAATGGCAAAGATTTTTTTTTTTTGGTATGTTAATATGTAAAGATTACAATTAATGTTTTTTGGTTTGTATATTTTACACCTAAACTGTACTCATATACAAAATTTATGGACGAAGCTCAATTGGAAAGAAGAGAGCCCTTGGTTATTGTAAAACTTAAATAAATTAGCATAGTTTGTGCTACTCATATAAAGGCCTTAAGAGGTCAGATTTTTTTAGAATTTATAACGGCATCTTTAGATATATGTTCTGCTGAAGATACTGTTGTTGTAAAAAAAAAAAAAAAAAAAAACGTAAATAAAAAATTGTACACATACCTTAGAAATGGTATTGCAGAGAATTTTGACGGTTTTAAAACCTTGACTTTTCCAAACCGTGGTATACCTTTAAACTGTTATCATCCCATGCTTATTATGAACTAAACTAAAGTGTTGCCGAAATCAAAAATCTTAAACTCATGTCTTTTAAATGTTGCATACATTGCAAAATAATAATAATCTTCCAATACAAACATCCTTAAAGGGTTAGATTTTTAGATGAAATCTGAGTGCCACTTTGTTTACCAATGTCTTGCATATCAGGGTGCTGACTGTTAAGGTACTATGTTATAGTGCCTGTAGTAAATGTGCACAGAAAAGTTGCAGAGATTTTCTAATTAAACACGGAGCTTTGTATGAATACAGTTGAACCACTGAAGTCACAAGGAATGCAAGGAATTAGGTTTCTTTTCTGTACATTGAATGTCTTTGGACCATTGCTGGCTATGATGGATCACAAAACTCTCAGATTTCATCTAATATATCTTCAAGGTCTCAGGGGATTGGAACAAAATGAGGGTTATTAACTTGGGTGAACACTTTTTAAATGGCCATATGTTTACTTGAAATGCAAAATTAAGAAATAAAAGTTGTTTCCTGATAAATTTAACAACAATTAAGTTTGGGCTTAAAGTAATATCAGATTAAATTATGAAAAATATCATAATATACAGTGCTTCCCACACATAGCTATATTATCGGCCACTCAAGTATATTTGGTAGTGACGCATGAATAATACTATTACTATCATGATTTTACACTTTTTTTGCATCCATCCAAGAAAGCCAAACATTTGCGATCGGTTAACCATTGGGAAATCTTCTCTCGCTCTGCACGTTTCCTACTGCAGGTTCTGTGTGCGCGAGAACCGTCAACACATAATGAAGAAAAATAAATTTTTAATTTTTATTTAAATAATTTACCCATTTCCTGCATTTAATTACATGTGGGCACTATGTCCCCAGTGGAAGTTACACCCCTGATTTAGAGGAAAGTGTACTTTGCTTAGATTTTTTCCAAGTATGTTTTAAAATAATCTTACATTTGCCATCCTAAAACCATCTTATTGACCAGTTATAAATGATATCATTCTTTCACTGGTGGTTCCCTCCTCCTGTGTATTGCCCAATAAGCATGCTTTCTTGTTCATTATCACAAATTAAACATGCAAATGTTTAAGTCCATCTTACAAAACAACCCCCCCCCCCCACACACACACACACAATTTTTTACTTGTATTAATGTATTACCTGCAATTGTTGTGCAAGTTTTTTTTTTTTTTTTTTTTTTTTTAATGCAAATGTAATGTAAGGAGAGTATTTGAATGGATTCTGAGATTTGCTGTAAAGATTACTGGTATTTAACACCCATTTCATATTAAATTTTGCATCTGTGTTTTCAGTGCTCTGCTTGTTTGCAATATGTTTTGGGTCTAGTTCAACTTTCTGTATTAAAATAGCCTGCTATGTCTGTGCAAATTATAGAACATATTGTCTGTAAAATCTGCAGAACTTGACACTAGGATGTCTGCTTTCTGCTAAAGTATGTGGGATTGTGTTTTCATGCTAATTTGCACTGTTTAGTAAGTCTGTCTCTTATACTTTCCTATCAAGTCTATATCATTTAAAAATAATGCTGGAATATTCCCATTAGCATAAAATCAATATGTTTGAATAAAGGGCAAAAACCGGTTCTGCACACTACTGTAGACTACAGAAAATGTGGTATATATTATGTTAATATATGAAATCTAATGATTCTGTGTGATGAGGCAGGATTTGCTTTAGAAGGGATAAATTGTCCTCTCTTGAAATTTATTCTGAATAAAGTTTTCTAATCTTTTTTTTTTTTTTTTTTTTTTTGCATGTCCTTGTGGGACAATAATGAGCTTGTTTACCTACGAGACTTCAGCCACTCAGCTGGCTCGAATGTGTGGGACGCTTTTGGCAGAGTGGGGTGTTTGGGTGGACTCAGACTATCTGTGATTGTGTCTGAGCGGGCAAGTACACCCCGCCTGGTCGAGGACTCTCGTTTAATAGTAGGGGCCACTCTAAAGTAAAGCTGCAAAAGGGCCCCCAAAAAGAGGGGATTGAAAGAAAAAAGGGAGAAAAACAGTCTGACAGTAGCAGACTCGCAGGAAGACGGCGGCTGTCCTTTTATAATTGGCCACAGAGCTTTCATTGTTGTTCTCAGGCGAGCTGTGCCCATTGAGCCAGATATTTGGTTTGTAGTGAAGACTACCTGTCTTGTGCAAGACTTTTTATAAAGCCCTTTAATAATAGATATTCATATTTCATTTAGTATGACCATACATTTGCAACTGTGGTAATGTAACGCCTCCATAAGGTTTTTGCCTAATGAAATATAAGAAGCACTTTACTGTTATGGATACAATTTATGGACAGCACATTGTGTTTAAGCATTTTCTGCATACTTATGGCATGCGTGCAGATCATATGTGACTACATGATATGATTTTCCAAACTGAGCACTTATTTTTCAAGGGTCACAGGTTATGGAAGAGTTTCTGCAGAAGATGATGTTCAGGTTCTTAGTGTTCTTGGGTCATCTCACAATGTCTTGTAGAATTTATATTGGGTCGCCTGAATGTGTTTTCTATTTGACCTGGGATAAATTCTAAAAGACAATTCTTTGAATCTCAAATTTTCATGACCCACCCTGTCATTTATCACTGAAACATGAAGACATGTTGACCGGAAAGAATTTGAAAGGGATTATGCATCTTAAAAAGAAAGAAAAAAAAAAAAAAAACTTTTCTTCAACAAGTGTTGAAGAAAAGGGCTTTTAGATATTATCTCAAGTCAACTTTGAAGGTGCATTATTATTATTAGGTTGGATGTGAATATATTTAATAATATGAATAAAAATGGCACAATTAATAAATCTTAAATAATTAAATGACTTAACTGAAATAAAAATATATATAATTGAAACCATTAATAAAAACGGCAGTGGTAGTTACTCTGTGACAAAAATTACATGGCGGTCAAGCTGATGAATGCTTTAGCTATTTTTAGTTAAGGAAGTTATTTGTATAAGGTGTTTTGAAACTAATTAATCTACAATTTTAAATGCTTTTGAAAACGCATTTTTAATAAATTTTTTTGAGATATTTTGGGCGTCTAATTTTGAAAGGAAAAAACAAAGACATTTTCCAGCCCTAGTGAAAGGGCTTGCAAATGTGCCACTTTGCAGTGCAGTCAAATGTGTGGCATTGCAAATGACGTTAATTAAGGTCCTGCGTATTTGTGGCAGAGTCTGGGCACTTTCTCCCTCCGGTGCCAGCGCTGACTTGCTTTTGTTGGTAATTACAGTTTGATTAAGCATGCTGGGCCATGAGAAAGCCTGCATGGCTGGCCAGTGACAGAGTTTCACACGTAATGTCTGAGCTGCGCAGGAGCTCTGAAAACTCTCTGAATGAACTGTGCTCAAGTTTCTAAATCCTGAGAGGACAGTTTTTCTGCAGTTAAAAAATTTCATCTATTATTCTTTAATATTCTGAGACTATTTTTTTTCTTTCCTTGAAAAGCTTAGCCGATATGGCCCTGGGATGCGATGGGCTTAACACACCAAGCAATGGTCTAAATTCAGAGTCTGTTTGGTGGCACATGACAGTCTGATTAAAAATGCCTTCGTTTATAATTTTTCAGTTTGTTCGGTGGCTGATGACGATGTAGCAATGACACACAGTCATTTATTGAAAGTGCATTTATTTGCATGCATATTAAAAATGCGTTTGCAAACCATCCTGCGTACGAAAATAAATGCAAACATCAGTGAAATGATACCTAATTGCAAGCGAGAGGCATTTTGTTCAGTCTGAGCCGTAAATTGAATGAACTTGTTAAAGTAGCTGTCAGACTGTATGGTTGTGTCTGTAAGCTCTGAATTGGAGATCCAGCCGTGGTTCTGTCCTCCTCCACCTCCTCCGTCCCCCTCTTTCCCTTCGCTGTTCATCTCAAGTGTCTGTTTTGTCTAGTTGTCCCCTCGTACCAGGTGCTTGTCCGAAAGGAAAAAAAAACCAAGGCCGGCAAGTAGGTCAAAGGATATGGCTCTTTGAAGAGGATCTGACAAGAGGCTTTGTGTATTAGTCGCTAAATGGTATTTCATTTGCTTAACACTTGAGAAAGTAACCTTTAAAGTGGCCGACAGCACCTTTGTGTGGTAGAGGAAGGAGATTCGCAGCGGCTGTAGAGCACACCGTGTTCCTCCTCACTTCATTTCCATCACCCTGTGCTCTTACAAATCAGCTCAGCCATTGCTACTGCTAATCGGCTGAAAATAGCAATGCTGATGTAGATAAATGGGTTCTTGTTTCATTTGTGCTGTTTGTTTCGTTGGTTGTAATTGCTAATAAATTTAAGTTAACAAATCATTACTTATGACAGAAATAGATTTAGCTTTTATACTCATTGTCATTCTCAATTTTATTTGATGTACTTTTTAACTTGGGATGTGTTGCAATTCATTCATTCACTGCACTTACTGTTTGAACAGAAAAAAATGAGATGAGATAAGATTACTATTGCAAAGTAATTTTATTTATTTAATACATTAAAATATTAA